TCTCTTTGTTCTTGATAGCTTCTGAGAGAGCCATGGTGAACCAAGAAGGTCCATGAGCCCTCGAAGCAAAAGGCGCCATGCTCTCTTCGAACTTGTGCCTTTTGGAGAATATCATGATGTACTTCGAGAATTGGACTTTGAAGTCATCTTTGTCGTCATTGGGAGTTAATCTTCGAAGCCTAGTGCCTTCGACTATCCTATCATTTATCTCAGAATCTTGCTCATCAATGGTGTTGGCGGTTGATAAGGAGGGTTCGAACATGGCATTTAGCCATAGTTGAAGTAACCAAAAAGGGCCAGCCAACAGAATATTTTTGGAGGTGTGGGATTTGAGGCTCGAAACAGCTGACCTCAGGCTTTCATAAAGGTCAACTAGGAGCAATTCACTTAGGCACACTTTTCGATTTTCATGCAAGTCCCTAGCTAGAGGAATGAACCTACTAGCTACCTGTAGGGATCTACTGCAGAAAACGTATCTTGACAGCCACAGGGTTAAGAAAGCAATATGCTCTATGTCAGACACATCGTCCCCCTCAGCATGATAATGACTGATAAACTTGGAAAAACTGGCTAGCTTGACTTCGAAGTCAATTATGCTTGAGTGTTCTTCGTTGTCGGGTATATAAGTTTCTCCCACTGGCGATAGCCCAGTGATGGCCGCTATGTCGAAGAAGGTTGGGGTGATCATTCCACCTGGGAGATGGAAAGTGTTATAGGTACTGTCCCAGAAATAGAGGGACGCGAATAGCAGAGGGTGGCTGTAGGTGAAACCAGGCTTCGATAGCTTAATCAGGTTATAGATGCCTAATTCTTCCCATTGCTGGGATTTCTTAGCTTCTACTTTCTTGAACCAATTTTGATAAGCAATATCAGAGGTGGGGCAAGATCGAAATGGCTTAAAATTACTTTTTACATAATCCAAAACAAAGGGGTCCTTAGGAGGAACAGTTGGGGTTTCTATGGTATTTGAACTAGGAGATTCTACTGCCTTAGGGGCGTCCATTTTGTTAAATAAGGGTTTAAAACTATAACAAACTGGGAAAATTGTCCTGGTATCTTTTAATATTTCAAAAACCGTAAGAGGGCCATTTAAAGCTAACCTCTTACCAGCAACGTTGGTAGGAATGAGTACTTGTGACGCATACAGCATTTCTTTTTCCTTTAAAATCATCTGAGGGGCAAGAACGGATTGACCTTGGTGAGTGATGATTTTACTTTCCATGGTAGCTCCTGCAGTTTTTCCTTTCTTCTTGGAGACTTTCTTGAGTTGGGATGAAGTAGAAGAAGACATTTTTGAAAGATGTTGAAAGCTTGGATTTTTTTGACGAGAGAAGGAGGGTAAAATATTTAGAGTGTGAAAAGAAAAGAAAAAGGTTAAGTTGGTGATGTTTTATAATGGGGAAGTTTAAGCACCCACTGAATAAGGGTGTGATACGTGGAGATCATGGGTTGGTGCGATGAAGAGGTGGCGTAAGGTTAACATGGGTAATAGGCGTGATTTAAAGATAATCATTATTTGTAACTGCACCATGCTGTGAAGTGGCTCCAGGCGGTTAAGGAATCCAAAAGGTGCTATGATTGACGTGACTGGAGTCAAATGCATTAAATGTTACGATGATTCGAGAGTCCCATCAAAATCTTGTGTAGGTGTTTAAAATAGGTATTTCTCAGAGGAATCGAAATACATATTTTAAAGGGGCAATTTGTTGGCTGAAGATTTTGATAATGTTATTAGAAGCCAAATGAATTAAACGTTTCGATCGAAATGAGGTAAAGAGCCATGTTTCGAAGTAGCAGAAGTAGTGTTTCGAATAAGCATGTCAAAGCTTGGAGCTTCGAGTGGCAATTATGGGAACATATCTAAAGAAGTCTCGAAATAACAACAAGGCTGTGTCTGGGAAGAGCGTTCGAAACGGAGAAGTACCAAAGCATTTGAAATTCAAATGGAAGCGGGACATTCGAAGTTTGAAAGTTATGTGCTGGTGCATTTGGGGACACATGGAAAGAAGAAAGAGGCATTGTCCTGCATGTTCTGAACGTGGCATAATCCTATAGCAAGACCGTTATGGTCGAATTAGTATAAATAGAAGTCTTAGTATTAGGATTTCGTGTGTCATATCTATTATACAAAATACTCAGTAACATTCAAACTACCACATGGCAAGGGAAACGAATGCAAGAGAAATGTATGTATGATAGCACCATGTATTTCTGATTTAATGAAAACCTTTTACCATTCCCAGCACTTTCTTTTATCTTTTTGTCAAATAGCATTTACAAGTTTTCTCATTTACAGTCTTTTCACTTTGAAATCTCTTCTTCAAAGTTTTACATTTTAATGCTTTCTTCACATTTCAAGCAATTTACATCTTAGAAACTGTCATATTTTCCATACCTTTACCTTCATGTCTTATCCTTCGAACGCATATTTTTACTTAAAGTCATTTACAGATTTCTTGCATTAAACGTTTTCTTCATATTTCAAACCTTTTACGTTCCAGAAATCCTTTATATTAACTGTTTTATAATTCGAAACCATTTACTTCACTTTTATGCAATTTTACATGTCTTTACAATTAGCATTTATTCATGTAACTTAGTTTCGTACACGCACATTTTGATTACATCTTTAGACTTTCTGAGAGAGAGATCGAAATAAGCCAAACGCATATACAACACTCAACATCAACCATGAATATCTGTTCGATCGTGAGAGTAACCTTAATATCCAAGGAGTCCTAGGATCAATCTAGTCGATCCTGTGAGTTACCAGAGGAATTGAATAACAGTAAGAAAGATTATTCGATAGTTTAGAAGACTAGCGGTTGTTTACCAGAAATCACTGGAAACAGCAGGTTCATGAGGCTGTTGCTGAGCACATTGACGAGGTGTCCCCTAGCGATACAGACACCACGTCTCGTGCGTCTATGAATCCATATGTTCACACTGATGGGTCCTTTCTAGGAGAACCTTCAGACATGTCTGTGTTGATAGGATTTGTTGAACATGTCACTTATAGGATATGGTATGACGAGGTATATAGTTTGTTTTCTTTTATTCCAACTTTTTCTGATTCTTTGTTTATGTATAATTTTTAATCTATAAGTTTTTTGATTCATTGTTTATTACAGGAGCGGAAGGTGTTGAAGGTCGCTTCCCATGGTTCGAAGTTGAAGAACTTTCCAGAGGGTGAGATGCCTGAGGAGGTCAGGCATATCATTAGAGAGTTTTATCTGCTCGAGTTCATAATGCGAGGATGAATACCTGGAGTGATATCACAGTGTATCACACTCTCGGGTCATACCACTGACTGTAGCATCTAATGTTCCAGAGCCTTCACATTCTAGGGTTTTCGTCGAGCCGCCACCACCTCCACTACCTCCAAGTGATCAGGACAACCGCCTATAGTTTATTGCAGTTCATTTAGATAATCTCATGGGTTTGGTAAACACTGATGGTGAGATTTATACATGTTTGGCTAAGTTAGCTGACGCAGCCCGTGGGGGCCTATGCATATCTGTTTTATTTTAGTTGCATTATATGTATATTTTGTGACACACAAACTTCTTATTTATTACATAATATTTTTCTGGCGATTACATGTTTCGAATTGATGATGAACATAACATAAAACAGTACAACAAACATAAACTAAAAACAACTAAATATGAAAACTTAGGTACTACCAGATGATTCTGGATGTTTCAACATCTTGATTATATCGTTGACGAATCTTCGAATCTCCGCATCCAACTCGATCGGACCTTTAGTTATCCTACGGCGAAATGTTTTCCACATGACATTCACATCTTCATCGGTCTTCAACTCAATCAGGTTATATTTCACCCAACCATCTGTATCAATATAATGATCCTGAAACTCGATCTTTGTCACCCTTCTGTTATCGGAATCAGGCAGCATTGTATTCAATGTTTCTTTCAAGGTGGCAATGGGTGTGCTGTCATATGGAAGCTTGAATTCAATAGTCAGGTTGCTTCTGTTGTAATACACTTATGCCTTAATCAAAAATTGAGGAAGAAACATTTTTTTGACATGTTTTTCTCTATAGCATATGCCCATATTTATATAAATGGCGATGCATTCTAGACCACACAAATTTTTCGGTGTAATCAGAATCCTCCAAAGATGTCAGAAAAATCCCGACCGTTAAAAAAACTTGAATTCATGAACAACCAGATATTTTAGTATATTTGAAATTTCTGGTACTGGTTGATAAATTTGAAATTTACGAAATACCAAAAATTTAAAATGCATTACCGAAAATTTACACAACCAAAAATTTATGTACCGAAAAATTTTTATGTACCAGAAATTTTGATGCTTCTACCCAAAATTTCTTTCGAATATCTCACCAGAGATAATTCTAGAATAATAAAAATTAGAGAATGTCAGATTTAATTTAGAGAGTGTCAAATTAAGTTCTTTCGCCATTACAGACCACAATAACATTAGGATTATTGGACCCATTGCAAATATGAATGATGTAATCCATTCCTTTAAGGAATTTTTCACAAATTAATGAATTTTTTTTTGAATAAAACAAAAACCCAAATCTTATAAATAAAATTACACCCTTAATAGTAGTTTTTTTTTTCTTTCTATTTTGTATTTACAATGTGACTCTAATCATAAGAAATTTTTTAAGAACTTTTGTTTGTCTTTTAATATAAGATTTTATATAAATTTTTAAATATATTTATATATTTTTAAATATATATATTTTTATGAATTATAATAATTTATCTTAAAAGATAAATAAATAAATAAAACTATAATTAATAGTAATTTAATAATAGCTATACATAACAATCACACATTATTCACAATATTGATCACATTTTATTATATTTCCCACACACAGAATAAATATCTGTCACATACACAATTTCTTCAAAATACTATGTCTAGAAAAAAGTTGTTAAGTTTGAGAGGCCATAACCTCAAACATGTATATATATGTAGGAACTCATGATTCTAGACTAGTTGTTGACAATGCAATCAACGGTGGATTTGAAAGCCAAAAAAAGGTTGTGATATGCTTTCTCTGTGGGGTGAATTGAATCCCAAAACATATACTTAGATGGATCAGGGCACACATTGCAACCCTTATTGCACAAAATTGCTGCTTCAATGTATCCACTTCCACAACATCCACTATTAATATCTTCAAATCCTGCCACATAAAAACAAAAATGTTAGCACATAGTTTTTTCTTGTATTATTATTCTCTAGAAAGTGAGGGTGAAAGTTTAATTACAATTTACAATTTACAAACCATATTTCTTATGTGATTGAACCATATTGGCTAGGGGTTCATATATGTCAATGTAATAGATTTTTACGGGTGAATTTGAGGAGTTCAGGTGAAACTGCATCGTGTTTAGTTCATGTTGAAGGAGTTGATTGTAATCTTTAGCAGCAGAGGAAAATCTTTCGATACAATTACGTTGTGAGAAGGCATTAGGAGAGTTGATTGTGATCATGAATGGTAGGCATCCCATTGGAGGGACTCCAGCTATTGCAATTTTCTGAGCACCTTCTGCCAACAATTCCTGACCAAAATGTTTTCGGACATTAGTTTCTAAACTTCATTTCTTAAACATACAAATAAATCCATCAATTATAAATATTAAATTATTTTAAAGTTTTAACAACACTTATATTAAAATGAGTTGTAATTTAATAAAAAAATATTTTTTTATATTTATATAGTGTGCGATTATTGAGTGAACTATGGAGTGGTACTAAGATACTTGTACTTGGATTCATAGAAATTTATTTTAGTGGTAAATAACCTTGCAAATGTCCTTACCCAATTTAATCTTATATTATTATAAAGATGAATGTGTTATAAGAAAAAAAATAGTACATTTTGTTTTTATAATTTTCTTATTCTTTTAATCAACTAGATTATTTATTTTAGGACAGAAGAATTATTTGTTTTGAACATGTTAAATAAATCATAAGTATATCAAATAAATATTTAACGAATTATTTGTTTACATAATTAAATAAAAACATATAGTTGTTTTATACTTTTATTTCTTACTAAATTCGAATAGATGATCAAAAAAGCATGCACCCACTAGTCTATTTGGCCTAATAAGTTTGAACATAATCTTGAACATGAGGACCTCATAGAACTCTTCCCTACTTTGGAATTAGGTACAAATCCTTTTCAATTTTCATTATGGGATGATAAGTACTAGTAGTTAGCAGCATTCATCATGCTAACAAGTAATATACCACATTTATCAAGGAACACTTCATATATTAACATACTATTAAATAAAAAAATATCATTTATAATTAAATAAAATGTTTTTTAATTCTTTATTTTTATTTCCTATTTAATTATGATTTAAATTGTTAATGATTATGAGTCAATTCATGAATCCCAATATTCAATCCAATATTCTTTTTAGTCCAATTCAATCTAATTCAATCATAATCAATCTTTTAAAGTTCAAAATGTTTGATTCAACTAATTTTTTGAGTTGGATAGAGCTACAATGACAAAGCTCTCTTCAATAAAATTAGTGTTAGTTAATTGATTTTGCTTTTTTAAATTATATTCATAATTTTTATTAATTGAAATAATTATAATTTCAATCTAATTTAAGATCCTTATTTAAATTGATAGATTTTTGGGTTTTTATTTGTATTTTAGATAATATGTATTTTTTTTTTTGAAAATTTTGATATTCGACCTTACGACTGATTAATTTAAGAGATACTAATTCTATCATCTACGAAAGATAATATATATACTATTTAATTTTTACTTGATTTAGCGTATATTTTCATTTCTAAGAGAAACAAAAGTAATTATAGAAATTTAAAATTAATTTTTATTGATTAGTTTCTTTAAAATAGAATTGATTTTACTTAAATAATTGATTCTATTTAAAATAAAAATTATAGATTTTAAATTTAAAGATAATTTTATATTCAAATTTTATACTCAATTTACTTTACAAATTTATTCAAACTTAATCACTTTATCTTAAACTGACTTTTAAACCTAACACTCAAACACACAAATTTTTTAGTCGACTCTATCTCATATTTAATTAGTAGCGGTAAAAGGACATTGTCCGTCCCGTTTAACAAAAAAACTCTAAAATATGAAATAGAAAGAAACAATTATAATTAAGAATGCGAACTTAAAATTTATGTTTGATCTATACTAAAGTGCGTATGGAGATAAATCAACCCACATACATTGATCTTTTAAGTCTAAAATTATAAAAAAAATATGATAATACTCACATCCACGTAAGCTCACCACCCCCTCCATTTAGTTTCCAATTGTAATTATAGTTGACTCTATTTCACATTTAGTATATTTGAGAAATACCTTATTTACATTAGAGGCAAGATATGCCTATTTTCCACTTTAGGTTTCTTTCCTCTGATATAGAGTTAATTATTAAAATAGAAAAGAACTAACACTATATACATGACAGATCACAGTATGGGCTTATGGCCAGTGGTGGTCCATTTGATCATTCATAAAGCACTCTATCACCATTCTAAAATTAACATCATCAACCACAGTTCCATCTTCGGTTCTAACAGAATAATCATGGCAAATGGATGGATTGTCTCTACTACTTTCAACCAACACTTTGTATTATATGAATTCAGAATCTAATTCTAACCAAACTATTCCTACTCGATCACTAGTAGTAGTATTTGATAGGAATCTTTTTAAATATCTACACCTACATAGGATTTTTTATTAGTCTTGAGTTTTTTTTTAATCTTATTTAAAGATAAAAATATATGTAATTCGATTTTGAATAACCAATTAAATTTTTTTATTTAATTTAGTTTATTTTAAACTGATTTTTTAATATCCAAATTATTAACTGTAAACTTTTATATTAATAACAATATTTAAAAAATGTGATAATAATAAACTTGATGCAAAATAATATTTAATATATTTAAAAGTAAAACATCAATTATTTTTTAAACATGAGTTTAAAACAGATGCATTGATATCGCAAATTTTTTTTACACTGTCATCTAATAAAAATATTTTTTTTTGTTATATTATATAAATTTTTAAAAGTAATAATTTGATTTAGTTAGTCTTAATTGATTAACATTGTAAAACTTTTTCACCGTCGTGCATAATTCATTTTCTCTTTAAACATATAAAGTAATAATTGAAAAATTAAATTAAATTAATAAATAATATTAAATAAATTAAAAATAGTTTAATAATAAATAAATATAATATACCGTAGCAATAAATTTGTTTTTAAATATATACAAGTGATTTGATTCAATTCCTTAAAATACTTCAATTTTTATATCTGATTAATTTAGATTTGAATACTTTTATATATTTTGTAATTTAAACTGTTTTTTACTAAATATTATAATTTAAGTTGTTTTATGGTTCTCCTTCTACATCTATTATGAATAATTAAAACATATCCAAGTTATGGAGGTGGCAGTGGCATTTAACTTAGGAGTATATATATATATATATATATATATATATATATATATATATATATATATATATATATATATATATATATATATATATATATATATATATATATATATATATATATATATATATATATATATATATATATATATATATATATATATATATATATATATATATATATATATATATATATATAAGCTGATTTTAGTGGGGTTGGATCGTTATTAGTTTTCCTGTCTACTCTCAACTACACTACCCATTTTTGTTGTCTTTGTTTTTCATAATTATTAGGTGCTATCGAAGTGTCTAAGTCTTCTTTTTTTTTTACCTCTTTCCATAAAGTACTCGTGTGTTTTTATTGACAAAAGTTTGATTAACAACAAAAATGTCAAAAATCTTTGGTGGACACGTTTGATACTATCAACATACTTTTTTGTGCTCCGGGTTTTTACAAATGCATATATTAATAAGAAATTTTACAAATTTGATTATTTTGAGTGTAGAAATTGCATGTCTGTTTTACCTTTATTTATTTTTAATTAAATCAAAATTCTATGCTCACACTTTAATTATATCTATTCCGTTCAATCTTATTTACAAAGCAAAGTCAAATAAGGAGGCATATGACGGATATCTTAAGTTTAAGAAAAAAATGCATATTTTATATTTTATAAGGTAACATATTAAGCAAACAGAATAATACTAATACATTATAACTAAAGTAATTGTATAAAGAAAATTAGATGTTTTGGGTTATGATAAAAAATTACAAAAATTAATAACCATAATTAATCACACTAGTTTTGTAAGTAATTCAAGAAAGTTTTGTAACAAGTGAAAGAAGCAATTCAAGAAAATTTAGCATATAAATAAATATTTAACAAATGCCAAAAATATCACACTAATGTCAAAACATAGAAAAGTTCATATTAATAACATTAAATTATGATGTGTTTATGCAAGAATTAGTAACATAATTGAATCAAACCTGTAAAAATTCTTTGACACGTTGAATCAAGAACTGCTGATATCCTAAGAGAGAATAGCTATTTCTTCTTACTGGCAGAGTAAAATAATTAAGAGCAAAATCATTTGTTCCAGCACTCATGAAAAACACTGCTTTCTTCATATGATTCTCAGTTCCTTCTTTACCAATCACTTTTTCGAGCTTCATTTTACATTCTCTTAAATATTCCAATTGATTCGGTATCGGAATCACACTCTGAAATAAACAGAAAAAAATATAATTTAAAAAGTAAATTTTCTCTTATAAATAGTATTAGAAGAAATATTGACGGATGCATACAGAGATAGATGGTGTAAGAGGGTCGAAACCAGAACCAGCAGAAGCAAAACTAACTCCTGTCATAAGCTCATTAACATTGTTAATAACTTTTGGGTCCAAATAAGCTGGAAGAAGCTCTTTTTTCACACCTACATAAGAAGCTGCAAAATGCATTCATTCACACAAACTCACATATCATATACTAACTGAAAAGAAAATGGTCTAATAAATTTAATTATTAATAGTTACCAATAAAATCAGTGGCTAATTTTCCATTGGTGAACCTCCCAGTAGGAACTTGGTCATCGAAATCTTTGCCATAAGGTTGAAAATTGCTTTTGAAAAGTGTTTCTATGTAGTTATTGTTTCCAGGGTCTACTGTGGAATCTCCAAACACATAAAAGCCAGAGACTTTTTTGTTAAAATTAGCTTTAACTCTTGTTGTGAAACATAATAAGCTAAGAATAATGAAAACTATTTGCATACAAGAAAACAAGTGTTTTTCTGAGTTCTTCATGTCTGGCTGAAATAAGTTCAATTCAAAATTTGAACTTATTATAGAGAAGTGATGATATTGCTGTTGTGTTGTAATAGGCCAGGTATATATAACAATTAAATAATGCCACTACAATTATTAGATATAGTAAGTAATAAAATTTAATTATTATTATTAAGAAAATTTGACGTAATAAATGACACTATGGTCTATAGAGGGTGGTTTAACATTAAGTATAGAAAATACATAATTGAGTATATGATGTAATTACTTTAGGCTTTTGTCTTCTCGTGGATTGAATCGGTTGTCTATTTTTAAATATATTTTCTTTTATTCAAAATTTTTTTTTTGACGTTATATATTTGTAAATTTGATATATATTTAATTGATATATGTAAGAAGTAAGAAGAGAGTAATGATATAAATGGATATTTACGGAAATAGATAATACGATATTCGTGTCTGTTTTATTGGATAAATGTGATATTCATATTTATTCTATATCCGTACGGATATCTGTTAAATGGATGATTTACGGGTTTTAAAATGTTTGTGGATATTTATAGATATTTATAAATAACATTATTTTTTTAAAGTTATATTTTAAAAAAAAATATTTTTAAATTTCTTTTCAAGACACAAGACGTTATTATTAACAATAAAATTCGAACGAAATATAAAAGTTTTCTTTAAAATAAAATTCAAAGAAAAATATATGAGAAAAATTATTTTTTTATTTTTTATTTTTTAGTAGATGAAAGATAGAATATAATAAATTAATAATATTTAAATATTTTTTATAATTTATTAATGAGTATAGATATTCGCGATTACGGATAACATTAAATTTGTATTTATATCCTAAACATATATTCAAATATTTATTTATTTTATCTGTAAATATCTATTAAATTATCCACTTTATATTCGTGACAGATTTTATTCGTGGATATTTGCAGGTACGGAAGACAAATATTTATTGCAATAAAGTCATGATTTTTTTTAAAGTCTAATAGATTCTCATTAATTTAGAGTATGTTTTATTAGTTGGAAATTTAAATCAAAGTATGTCCTTCTGCAGGTGTGACAGCTTTTTCTCAACAACCCGTGCTATATAATTAATCATATGAATATCAGTGTCCATCTTACAGTTTCAAAAATTATATGTGAGGAATTTAAATTAAAATGAAAAAATTTCTGTTTTCAATTTTTGGTGTGAATCTAATTATTATATTATTTATATAAATTTTCCCAAAAAAATAAATGGAGTAATTCAAAAGGCACAAGAAATTTTTATTCAAGAACTTTAATCAAAATTGGATAGGATTGAACGGCTTTGATAGTGCGTGAGACACTTTTAGTAATGAGAGAAAGAGAGAGAAAATAAAGAAATAAGAATTGTTATTATTGAATGAATAAAAACTTATTTATAATATGCCTAATTATATATAACTAACTTGTATACTAAGTAACAAACAAATCCTAATTAACTTGGGCTTGGGCTTGTGTTATTTAACTTGGATTATATCACAACATATTCTCTATAATCTAAGTTATCGAAGATACGCTAATCATAGTCGATATGAACTATTTCTAATTTCTTCCTCAAATTTTGGAATCTATCGATCTTCAATTCTTTGGTAAAAATATCGGCCAATTATGCTTCACTTTGATGGGTTATCATTGAGAGAGAAACATACACATTGGGTCAAACAGTACTCACCTAAAGACCAAAGACTCATCCAAACAAATGAGATAGACACCACATATTCATCCAAAATCTTAAGGTGATAGGTGTATGGGTCGTCTCATTTATAAAGTGCTCAATCTTTTTCTAAGCAATGTGGCACTTAGAACTCACACTTGTTTCTCAACATAACTCAGACTTGTTTCCCAACAATCTCTCCCTCAAGTGTGAATCCATCCATTATGCCCCCCGCTCAAGCAGAAGCTCTTTCATCCACATACTTGTACCGCCATAGAGAGACACCCTTATCTCGTCATGGGCACTTCAACGGGACACACCGCCTGACCACCATGTCAGGAAGACTTTCGACATAAGGAGTCGGTCCTTACTTACCGGGCTCTGATACCACTGAAGGGTTATCATTGAGAGAGAAACATACACATTGGGCCAAACACTCACCTAAAGTTCAAAGATTCACCCAAACAAATGAGAGAGACACCACATATTCACCCAAAACCTTAAGGTGATAGGTGTATGGATCCTCTCATTTATAAAGTGTTCAACCTTTACTTTTCTAAGCAATGTGAGACTTAGAACTCACACTTGTTTCTCAATAAAACTCACAATTGTTTACCAACACACTTGAGCACTGTCTTACTTCAAGTTCACATTGATTTACCTTCTTCCTCGAGAAGTGAAATCTGGCCTCGATGTGCTTACTCCTTCCATGCATAACTGAATTTTTTGCAAGATTAATGGTTGACTTGTTGTCGATCTGCAGCACCAGGAGTTTTTTCACTTTGACTTCGATCTCTTTCAGCATAGATCTGATCCAAATTTCTTGACATGCATCATAGTATCTTGCTATATATTCAGCCTCACATGATGACAATACCATCATAGGTTTTTTTCTCAAGCACCATGAGATTGGGGCACCAAAGACTTGAAAGAGATAACCAGTTGCATTTCTTCCATCTTTCTTATCTCCACACCAATCAGCATCTGAATAACAATTAATCATAACTTCTTTGCTTTCAGAGTCTCGTTGAAATAGAATTCTATAGTTTATCGATCCTTTTAAGTATCTAAGAATTCTTCTTGCAGCCTTCATGTGTACCACCCTTGGTTCACTCTTGTATCTGGTCACTAATTCGACTGTGAAACCTATATCTGGTTGTCTGTTGCACACATATCTCAGAGATTCCACAATTTGTTTGAAAAAAGTAGCATCAAGTTTGGTTTGACATGTGAGAATGCAGGATTTAACTCATCCATTCTGAATCTCTTGAGTGTATCTTTGACATACTTCCTTTGCTGTAGCACCATACCTTGCTTTGATATTTAAAATTTCATGCCTAAGAAATAAGACAAGTTTCCCAAATCTCACATTTCAAATTCCCTCATCATCAGATCTTTGAACTTCAACAAGTTCTCCAAGCTATTTCCAATTACCAGCAAGTCATCGATATATAAGCAAATGATTGTTATTATCTTGTGCCATAACTTGAACATAAACACCATACTCATACTTGCATTTGACGAATTCCAATTCGACTAAGTATGAGTCGGTCTTCTTGTTCCATACCCTAGGTGTCTGCTTAAGGCCATAGAGCGCTTTGTGAAACTTGTATAGGTCCATTCAAAAATGATAATTTCACATCTAAGTGAAATATTGACCATCCTTACTTGCATGTCAAGGATACCACTAGTCGAACAGTCTACAATCTTGCTACTGGTGCATATACTTCAGAGTGGTTGACTCCTTCTCTCAGAAGAAATCGTCGATCTACTAATGTTGCGTTATGTCTTGCTATCAAACCAACAACATTATACTTTAACTTGAACACCCACTTAACTTTGATAACTTTTGTTTTTACTGGTAATTTGACTAATTCCCATAGCTGACTTCTACTATTTATTCTTTAAAGCCTCTTTATATTTGATTGGTTCAACACCTATAAGTAAAGCAAAATGAACTAATTCTCCATTTGGTGTTACTTCATCATCACCAGGCACTTCATAGTCTTGAAGTGTTGCTGGATGAACTCTAGTTCTTTGAGGTTTTTGGCTTGTAGTATCCACATCCTCTTTGACTCTGATTGTGTCGTGAATGTTAGCAAATACTTCGACTTTGAATTCGACTAGAATATCAGTAATTGCTTCGTCTTCGACTTCATTAGTTTCTTCGTTGAAGCCATAGCTCATCAATGGATTGTTAATTGCATCTCCAGAATTCCAATCCCAGAAAAAATTTTCCTTAATCACAATATCTCGAATCATCAATGTCTTCTCATTAATTGGATTAAATATCCTGTATGCTCTAGTTTTATGATATCCTACCAGAATCATATGTTCACTCTTGTCATCAAGCTTCCTTCTTCTCGCATCAGGAACATGCTTATAACAAATAATACCAAACACCTTCATATTATTCACAGATGTCATTTGTGCTCCAAACTTCTTTAGGAACCTTGATCTTCAGTTTCTTTGCATGACACGTGTTTAGAATATAGACAACAGTGGTGATTGCTTCACCCTATAAGGACTTTGGTAGATTTTTCTGCTTCAGCATGCATCTCACCAAATAAAATATGGTTTTGTTTATTCTTTCTGTAATTTGATTATGTTGAGGTGTATAAGGAGTAGTTACTTCATGATCTACACCATGTTCTACACAAAACTCCTTAAACATCTTGGATGTGTATTCGCCTCCTCCATCTGTTCACAAAACATTGATCTTCTTCTCACTCTGGTTTTCGACAAGTATCTTGAATCTCTTAAAGATTTCAAATCACTACTATGAAAAACTCATTTAACAACGATTGGAATATACATATAATTACGCAAGTCTAGGTGTTGTTGTGTAGAGTGTTGTTGTAAATTCATTACTAACAATCACGATCCTGGGACCATTGTACTATACTGGAAAGTGCATGTGATATCATAATGGTTATGCTTAACAACCGTTGTGATATATATTATACTGGGTTTGAAACCCAGTAGTAAATAAATTACATTAGTTCATAGTTAATATAGAAAATCATTGTGAAACGTACCCATAGTTTATTATATACCAATGTATATTTTACCATACACCTCATTAAAGAAATACAACCATTAAAATTTATAAAGAGTTATATAATCTGAAAATTAAACTATTCTTGAAAACCAACTTAAACACACCATTGTATTCCGAATTGTATGCGTCTCATTGTGCACATTTTATGTTCTTTAACACATATATGGTTCAATGGTCGGATTCCTTCAATACATCGATATCTTTTATTATAGTTTACCTCATCATCATCGCTTATCATCGTGATTGTTATGATGA